GGGTGGGGGGGGGAGGGGGTTTTCGTATCCGGCAGAGTCTTGCCATCAATGATGACAATGCGCCACCGGCGCCAGCCTCGCCGTCTTTCCCGCCACCATTTGTTGGCAACTTGAAAACAATAGGACGGAAAAAGATCCGGCTCATCGTCGTCTTTGGCCTCAACATCCTCACTTCCAGCTGCTCCGGCGTCAAAGCCCAATACCTCGTCCAACTCGGCAACCGCGGTGCCAGACTTGGTCGACCATCTGACCTGTTCGCCTGGGCCACGGATGGAATGTTCATCATGGTTGTATGCGGCACAATTCCAACTCTGCACATCGTCTTGCGCTGGTTCCAGTCTGCTGCGGGATCGGTAAAGAGCAAGATGAAGTCGAGTACATCGAGGAAATCAGCATCCGAGGCTGCTCCAGACAGAGTAGGCACGGAGCTCGGCGACACGACTTATATGACTCCCAGCACGAGGACGACAGTTGAAAGGGGCCCGTCGGCAAGAAGTGAGAGTGCGGGTAATTCTGAGGAGGACGATTTACCGGAAAACGGGGTTAGGGTGGACATCGTGTATAATGTAAGGCGAGATACAAGGACAAATTCCGAATGCTCCAAAAGACGCCTAGGGTTGAAACGGGGTTGAAGTTGCTGGGGCTATGAGGGACGGCGTTTTGGGAATTACAAACACCTTTGCTAAAGCGGATATTGAACAACGGAACACGCATCTTTGTTGTAAAATGGGCTTTGAAAACTGGCGTTAGAGAGGATATTCCCACCAATAGCGCCTAGAATAGACTATTACATACCAATGTATTCAACCATGTTTTTGGTCCCATGGTGCGACTTGTTAACGAGAAATGAGGGGCTCAAGAATATTACAACTTTTTAAAGGTAATGGAAAACATACGAATTAAATTATTACTCTTTTCCCCTCTATATATTCCCATCTGTTCTCGTTCCGTGAAGATTCGTAAATGTGTCATCTATCGTGCAGAAACTCGCTTGATACAACAACGACTCGTCCAACCCAAATTCCGCCTGAGGCGTCATGTTTGTATCAGCGATCCAGTGATCTGCCATGGAAAAAGTGCCATCGTTCTGGTTGAATGACAGACCATTCGCCCACTCTTCCACGGTAGCAGCCGTTGCATGTG